AAAAACCCTAGCTTTATTTGTACTTTAATAATCTAGAAACCTAGATCTTGTATACTTGCAGTGTTTGGCTATTACATTAGAGATGTCATAATCAAACTTACCTTAATATATACTAACCTAACATGTCAATAATCTTTGGGGTTTGCGCTTTCACCCACCCCATTCTACACTTCTTTCTTTCCATGTACTAAGCCATTGAACTGATTCTCATGAAAATCTAAACAGAGTATCTGGATATATATATGTATTATCTGGAGATATATATGTATTTAATGTGGATCTTTTTCAAGAAATATTTGCATTAAATGTATTTATGAACTCCTATATAATCTTTAAAATTCCATCTCCTTGTAAGTTATTTTTTTTTTCTTAGAAAGTCACCTAATTACACCCTGGATTTGTCTTCTTTTTTTGAACTCCCAGTACGTTTTCTCATCCCGGACCATGAAAACCATACTAAACTTTATATTTTTCAGCAAGTCTTCCATACCTATCCAATCTCCTTATCCATAGGACATTTTCAAGATCAGTTCTATTATTTATATATATATACTTATATCTAACTATATCTATATATTTATATCTATCTATAAATATGTCTATATCTATATCTAGATATATTTATATCTATATATTTATATCTATATCTCTATATTTATATATATATATTCATTGCTGCAGAGTAGCCACACCTGCTGACCCATGAGGTCATTTTCTTGCCAGATTTTTCCATATCTTCCTTGGCCCCATAACTGTTGGTGCAGGAGATGTTAGTCAAATGAGACAAGAATTTAACTTCTTTCAAGAAGCATTTTTTGGCTTAGTGACTACTGATTTCCCCTTTTTCTTCTGAGGGAAAGACTTCAGTCTCATCTAAAATTATCACCAAGAGACCACATAGTTTAAAGATGATTTCAAGGGACTATAGGCTGGCTTTCTAGCATTTTTAATTCATTTCTGTGTGAAAAAAGCTTCAGGTAAACCTTGTTTATGAAAACCAAATGAACTCAATCCTAGAATGTTCATTCCACCCTAGTAATTAGAGCTGCTGATTAGCACCTCACATTCACAGCACTTGCATAAACATAAACCTAAGCAACAGCAACAGAAAGTGTCATTAGGACAATCTTAAGAACAAGAAACCTGTCACCTGCTGCTGACACTGAAGTTTGTTGATTGAGCTGAAATATATTGCTGGCATATAATACTGCAAAGTAACAGTCAGAGATCTTTACCCCTCTGCAGCAGAGGTGAAATTATAAGTCACTGAGGAACCAGGGAGAAACAATAAAAGGGATTCTGAATTTGGGCCTGATTTTACCTCTGTTCTTGCACATGTTCACTTTGAAGTTATGGAGTGTGAGTGAATGACATTTTGTGAACTGCCTTTGGCCATTACTACTGAAAGCTCTCACTAGGAAAAAAGAAAATTATATTTCTTCCCTTCTGCTTCATTATCCTTTCTTATATTATGAGCTAGTCCCTTGGTAGAAATGAATCACTGTAAAATCAGATCCTTAACTGTGTCCTCCTCAACATAGTAACAGAGAAGAGATGATAGCTTTGTGTGTTGATAAATGACGAATGTTTCAGAAACTATAAAGAAAATGAAGGGTAGGCAAAAGACGATTTATTACATTTGTTTAGGCTTTCTTGGGTAAAATATGTCCTGGGGCTTGCAAGGAGAGAGCTTATGCAACTACAATCTTTCTTTCATGATTAAAAAAAGGCATTAGGTATGTTTTGCTGAGTCAAACAAGGCATAGTGCTGGAATGGGAAACAGAATTAATTATATTAACATGATTAAAAGGATATCTCACAGTTGCCCCATCCTGGACAGGTTCCTGAGAAAGGAGTAAGTTATCCAGATAAAACAACCTAGACGAAAAGAAGAAAAAGAATGGAAAATGGCAAAGATTTTGTTGATTTTTCTGAGAAGCATCCTTGTAATACCCAGGTTGTGAATGTTTTCATCAGAAGCATTGAAAGATGGCATAGGCTAAGAAAAATGTATATAGCTGGAGATGAGAAGCTAGATGTGAGCACAACTTAAGCTCTGTAGCCAATCCCAGCGTAGACTGACAGAATGTACAGGTGCTAAGTGATACCAGACATTTTCCAATACAATCAGAGACATTTTTGGGTAAATAAGTCATTGTACTTTAAAATAAGTAATGGGAAAGAGGATGGATAGGACATAATGAAGACATCTGAGGAAAAGAGGTTTGGTAAGTAGTCATTGGTGTTGACTGAGTTTTCTCCATATTTCCCAAATTCACTTCTAATTTCTTCTTAGGCTTTTTTTCATTTAATTTTTCATCTTTTTATAGCAGAATGACTTATATTAGAATTTGCACTTTTATTTCTGTTTTAACAGACTTAAGACAGAACCACTCTATGGGTTACCATGCTAACTGCCCATTGCCAGAAATTCAGTTAATTAGAGTGGGAATTTCACCAGTAGAGGGCAGGACCTATTTACATTTTAATTTAAATTCAAGATTATTCATGTCCTAATTAAAAGTAACTCTCTAGGAATTTTTTTGATCACCAGAAATAAGGCCACTGCTGAAGTAGCACATACATGGCTTTTTTTCAGTTTGAGGATTTCAAAGTATATCATAAAAAATGAGGAATTACTATGTTCTTGTGACATATTTATTATTATACCCACCTTAAAAGTTATTAAATAAAAAAAAATAGAATTGTTTACTCAAAAGCACACAATAAAGGGGTGATAGAAATGAAAACAGGAGTCAGCAGTTCCAGTGGTTAATCTTGCAAACACCAAGTTCTCATCTTTTCCAAATTTTTAAGGTGTTGTTTGAAGGATGTTTTTAATGTACAGAGTGTTATTTTTACCTTATCCGTTTTGGAGGTTGATATAAGAATATTTTTAAACATTTGACTGCTTATTTTTTTTAAAGTCTTTTATATTCTTGTTTGTTTGAAAACCTAAACTAAAATCTTTTGCCAGATTTACTATCTCAGTATTAATCTGGCATCTAAGAGAACTCCAGTCAACAAGGAAAGTTGCATTATAATATAGGTAAATATTATGGAAACAGGTGTGTTAGAGAAGCAAAGTATAGAACTGCAAGAACCTCCAAGAAGACAGAATGTTATGTAAAATGATACTGTTAAATATATATAAGATCTACTCCTAGCTTGTGCTGTTTACCTATAATGCCTAATAATAATCTTTCACTGAAATTTAATATGTTACTGTTGAATATTACATAAAACAGACGTGTATTCAACCTAGCAGAAAAAAAAGAAAAAAAAAAGAAGAAAATATTTATAGTTTAGCACAAACTACCTCTGCTTCTGGCTTGCGTGATATAATTTTGTTTTGCAAGCTTCTTGTATGTTACCAGTTAAATTATATTTCTTTAAGTGCATCTTTTTTTTACACAAGGAAATGCATTTTGATGGAACTTCTGACAGGGGGAAATAAAATGCATGTAGTTCTTACCCATGGAGCCTTTTCCAAACCATATCTGAAATAGTAATGAACATGTTGCTTCAATAATATTGACTCAATCAGATCATATGGTGAAACATTTCCAGACATATTGATAAATTCATTGATTCTTCCCATTCTTTTGGTCACTGGACTATAGAAAAAGGGATCACTAGCCATTTGACCTTCATTGTGTATTAAATAAACAACAGATGGTAAGGATTCATTCAGTAAATCTATTCTTTTTTTTTCATAGTCATGTTCACACTGTTGCTTCCCACTGAGTCTTTATCTTTATTTGTCATGGTGCCAAAGCTGCCTCTATAGCACCTTTCATGCATCACAGCTTTCAAATCTTGTCCCATTAGTTTCATTTTGTTTCTATCATAAATAATCTACTACTTTCTCATACACTCCTTCATTACCTAATAATGCTCAGTCTTTGTACAAAAGGGTAAAGTATTAAAAGGTTAGTGAGTACAGTTTGCCCATTAGTATATAGTGTGTGTGACACTTTATTAAAGAAAAATATAAGATACAGGTAATAATTATTCAGTCTATGAAATATCAATACTTTCAACAACTAGGGATATATATATTTTTTATTTGAATGACCTTTTCATTTTAAACATGTTACTATTTAGAGGCTGGTAACATGAAAATTCACAAAAGAAAAGTTTGGTGCTTGGAATTTAGTCATTTTGAATATATGTCCACTGGTCCCTTTTTTTGAAAGATATGAACTTAAGGAGGTTTTACAACATCATAGTTAAGGGTTACTTGTATCCAGTTTTAGATTTCTAGATGACCAAAAGCTGAAAATCAATATTTGTATTCTGAACCATTATTAGTTCAAATAGGTGAAAAAAAACCCATAGTGATATAATTCAACCTTGTCCATAGAAGTGCAGTATGCACTTCTGTGGAAAAAGAAGCCAATTTTTTTTTTTTTTTGCTTGTTTCTCATTATACTCAAGAGTAGTAAGAGATCATAATAATCACCAGCCTTTTATCTCTCTCTCTCTCTCTCTATCTGTCAAATCTATATCTTTTTCCCTGAGATTCAGGCACTGCAGTGCAGGTATACTGGAAAGGAAAGAAATGACGAAAAGTTTCTGACTCAGTGGCTTTCTGATATTAATCAACAAACAAGAGACTGTTTTAATTCCCCTGAGCACAAAGAAACACTAATGCTGCCAAGAGTTTTGATGCTTCCCAGATCTGAGAGTGCATTCTGTTAATATGCAGGTAGCATACCTTTTTCCAAAGAAATACTAAAAACAGTAAACATTCCCCTGTCCCATTACCAGTGCATCTTTTTGCATTGCGAAGCACACAGTAAGTCGCACATGAAAAGTCATGCACTATAGCTGAAACAGAAAAACAATATCTAAATTGAGAAAGAAGGGGTTGCTTGTAGGCTTTTTCTTTTTTTTTTTTTCAATTATAATAACTGTATACCTGCCTATTCTTATCTTCCCCCAATACTGCAGGAGTTTGAGGGTGCCAGAAGGGAGAGAGGGACAAGTGGCCAGACTGGGCAGATGATGCCTACCTTATTGCCTAGGTGACACCACTGTCACATGCTTGACAACATTGTCACATGCTCAATGACTATGCCTGCTTAGTTCACCTGGAGCAGGCTGTGCCTAACATCCTGTGCACGTATACTTAAAGTAGGTAAATTGGGGAGAACAGTGATGTTAAAAATGGTTTTCTTAATCATGATGGGTTACTCTATTGTCACTACAGAAGCTTGAAATACTTTCTGTATTAACCCAGAGAAGAGGCCACTTCCTGAGGATGAACAAACTGTTTTAAATGCATGTGTCTTTGTTAATGATCTGCAAAAATGAATTGCTAATGAAGTAATAGCTTTGGATTTAGATCTAACTAGGCAAAAACTTCAACTTAAAAAGATAAATATTTGATGCTTGCTACCTCCATATGTGCACATTTTCCAAGTATTACTTTCCAGGTACAGCTTTTTAACTCAGTGTATATTGCAAAGAACAGAAATTTAGCATCAAACCAAATGAAGTAAAATACATTGAAAGATGGTGTGACTGATATTCTCCACTGTTTAACATTAGTTTCCTTTGGAAATCTGACTAGAGAAACCCATGGGTTTTGTTCTTTCCTTGGCTCCAGAACAGAGCTAGCAATGCAGCAGTTGTTTATTGTATCCTCTGTGACAATTGTTTGTTCTAATCTGCTTAGTCCTAGGGGGGTTTTAGTGATTTCACTTACATTTTATTTTCATTTTATTCTTGAGTTGCTAACAAAGTGACCAATTTATCCTATGTACATTCTGTTCTGGATGACATTTAAATTAAGTTCCTGACTCAGACGTAGCACAAAATTCTTATTTCATTTTACCTTCTTGTGGTTACAGCTCAGATAGTCTTTTCATCAGTTCTTCAGGATAAAGGGGAAGACCTTAAGCAGGCTAGGAGGACAGGCCAGGTTAATAAATGTTTAGAACAGTGGTGCCATAGTCAGGGGTTTGGGTTTCTAGAGCATGGGACTCAATTTAGTAGGCCAGGTCTACTGGGGGCTGGTGGAGCTGATCTTTGGTAGGAGGCTTGCCAGATTGATCAAGGATGCTTTAAACTAGATGTCTTGGGGGAGGGGGACATAATTCCATCCCAACACTCCCAGTCAGTTGCCAGCACCTATAATAAATGCTCGGAGCAATATAGACATATTCCAGCCACTCCAGCCAATGAGCTGGTTTGATTTGGAGCTTCTATACAAACGCCCATAGCATAGGGAACAAACAGGAGAAATTAGAGACGTGTGCACATCCACAAGGGTATGATATAATAGGCATAAAAAAAACTTGGTGGAATGGAAAAGACAGGCCCTGCAGCTGGGGAGGGGAGTTGCTATTTATGTTAGGGATAGGCTGGAGAGTTTGGAACTCAGTCTGGGGACAGGTGAGCAGTCAACAGAGTTTGTGGGTCAGGGTTAAAGGGAGAGCACTGATAGGAGATATTACTGTGGGGATCTGTAACAGGCGGCCTGATCAAGAGGAATCTGCGGAAGAAGCACTCTATAGTCAGATAGGAACAGCCCAGCGTTTGCAGGCCCTTGTCATGGGGGGATTTCAACCACCCTGATATCTGTTGGAGTAACGGTACGGCCCGGCACAAGCAATCCAGAAGGTTCCTTGATTGTGTGTAAGACAACTTCCTTCTGCAAGTACTAGAGGAGCCGACAAGGAGAGGTGCTATGTTTGACCTCCTGCTTACCAACAGGGAAGGGCTTGTTGGATATGTGGCGCTCCAGAGCAGCCTTGGATGAAGCAATCATGACATGGTCGCATTTAAGATCCTCAGGACAGTGAGAAGAGCGTGCAGCAAGCTCACTGCCCTAGACTTCAAAAGAGCAGACTTTGGCCTCTTCAGGGAACCTGCTTAGTAAGGTTCCATGGGTTATATCCCTAGAGGGCAGAGGGGCCAAAGACTTTCCATTGATATTCATGGATCACATGCTACAAGTTCAGGAGTGTTGCATCCTAACAAGAAGGAAGTGCAGCAGGAGGGCCAGGAGACCTCCTTGGATGGATAAGGAGCTGCTGAGGAAAATTCAAATGAAAAAAGAGGCTTATAAAAGGTGGAAGCAAGGACAGGAGCCTGGGAAGAATACAGGGATGTTGTCTGGGAAGCTAGAGACCAGGTTAGGAAAGCTAAGGCCCAGTTAGAATTGAACTTGGCTAGGGATGTTAAAGATAACAAGTAGGGATTCCATAGGTACACTGAAAATAAAAGACTAGGGACAACGTAGGACCCCTCCAGGAGCTATCAGGAGAACTGGCTACCCCGAATTTGGAGAAGGCTGAGGTTCTTAATGACTTCATTGCCTTGGTCTTCACTGGCAAATATTCTGACCACACCACCCAAGTCTTGGAATGCAGACGCAGGGACTGTGAGAATGAAGACCTTGAGTGCACTGTAGGAGAGGATCTGGTTCAAGACCATCTTAAGAACCTGAATGTGCACAAGTCCATGGCACCTGATGAAATCCATCTCTGGGTCCTGAAGGAGCTGGCAAATGAAGTCGCTAAACCACTGTCCATTATATTTGAAAAATCATGGCAGTAAGGTGAAGTTCCTGATGACCGGGAAAAGGGAAATATAACCCCCATTTCCAAGAAGGGGAAAATGGATGACCAAGGGAATTACAGACCAGTCAGTCTCACCTCTGTGCCTGGCAAAATCTTGGAGCAGATTCTCCTGGAAGGCATGCTAAGGCACATGAAAAACAACAAGGTGCTTGGTGACAGCCAGCATGGCTTCACTAAGGGGAAATCCTGCCTGACCAATTTGGTGGCCTTCTATGATGGGGCTACAGAACTGATGGACAGCAGTAGAGCAGTTGATGTCATCTACCTGGACTTGTGTAAAGCATTTGACAATGTCCCACACGACAGCCTTGTCTCTATATTGGAGAGACATCAATTTGATAGGTGGACCAAGTGGGGGGATAAAGAACTGGCTGGATGGCCGCATGCAAATAGCTGTGGTCAATGGCTCAATGTCCAGCTGGAAACCACTAACAAGTGTTGTTCCTCAGGGATTGGTTTTGGGACCGGTCTTGTTCAACATCTTCGTCGCTGACATGGACAGTGGGATTGAGTGCGCCCTCAGTAAGTTTGCCGATGACACCAAGCTGTGTGGTTCGGTTGATACGCTGGAGGGAAGGAATGCCATCCAGAGGGACCTTGACACGCTTGTGAGGTGGGCTGGTGCCAACCTTATGAGGTTTAACCATGCCAAGTGCAAGGTCCTACACCTGGTTTGGGGCAATCCCAGGTGCAGCTACAGGCTGGGCAGAGAAGAGATTCAGAGCAGTCCTGTGGAGAAGGACTTGGGGGTGCTGGTCGATGAGAAAATGAACATGAGGTGGCAGTGTGTGCTTGCAGCCCAGAAAGCCAACTGTGTCCTGGGCTGCATCAAAAGGAGCGTGACCAGCAGGTCAAAGGAGGTGAACCTGCCCCTCTACTCTGCTCTCGTGAGACCTCGCCTGGAGTATTGTGTGCAGTTCTGGTGTCCTCAACATAAAAAGGACATGGAACTATTGGAACAAGTCCAGAGGAGGGCCACGAGAATGATCAGGGAACTGGAGCACCTCCCATATGAAGATAGGCAAAGAAAGTTGGGACTGGTCAGCCTGGAGAAGAGAAGGCTGCGTGGAGACCTCATAGCAGCCTTCCAGCATCTGAAGGGGGCCTATAGGGATGCTAGGGAGTGACTCTTCATTAGGGACTGTAGTGACAGGACAAGTGGTAGTGGCTTAAAATTTAAACAGGGAAGTTTAGATTGGATATAAAGAAGAAATTCTTCCCTGTCATGGTGGTGAGGCACTGGAATAGGTTGCCCAGGGAGGCTGTGAATGCTCCATCCCTGGCAGTGTTCAAGGCTAGGTTGGACAAGGCCTTGGGTGATACGGTTTAGTCTGAGGTGTCCCTGCCCATGGCAGGGGGTTTGGAACTTGATGATCTTAAGGTCCTTTCCAACCCTACCTATTCTATGATTCTATGATTCTACAATTATCAAAAATTTTATTACATGGTCAAGGTTATTTTGTGTCCTTAATCTTCAAAGCAAAAATATTTGGTGGAGGAGGAATGATGTCACTTTAAACCTGCTATTTAGCTCTGAGAGCTGAAAAAGGCAGTGTAACCCCCTCATGCATAAATATATCACCTTAAGTTTATATTTCACTACTTTTTAAAAAGTACTGAAGAATATGCCACAATATGTCTTGTTCTAGAAGCTGAAAAATTATGCTATGACTAAAATGACATCATTCTGCCTCCCACAGAATGTTTTGGCTCTGAGAGCTCAAGGAGCAGATGAAATTAACATAAAATGTCACTGTCATACAGAAAGGAAGAAAAAATATTAACATCTTTTGCATTTCTTTCACAGATCTGAGTAGGAGGTCACCACAAAGCATGTCACAAGAACCCTGAGGATGAAACAGTGCCTTTTGCTGAGGGCCAGTATGACAAGCACTGTTGAAATTTTCAAAATAGGGCTTCCCATAAATCAGGATGGTCTGTAGGATTTGTGTTTCTTCTGTCCACTAAGAGCTGCTCTGTAGAACGCTTTCATTTTGTCTTTATATTAACCTTAGCTAATTTTGAAATTGTTCCCAAGTTAATTTTAAAAACATAATTAGCACTCTAGATAATTAATCTAGTTGACACAATTTATTGTTTTTTAATTTGTACTGTTGTATCACAGAATCTTATATAGAGGTTATGTTCCCATTGTAGTAAACTATTCTGTGATCAAATAGTAAGACATTCTCTCACTTAAGGAGCTTAAAACCCAGATATTGAAAAGGACATGGTAGGTTGGAAAGCAAGCCAGATAGCAACCAGGAAGATGGGAGGGCAAAGTAACGAACTGAACAAAGTTTACCAAAAAAAGAATGAGGTCTCACCTCACAATATTTAACTACTGTGAAACAGAAATGTTTCTGTGGCTACCACAGAAGACTTGTGATTTAAGGGTCAGTACCTTTTTTAAATTTTAACAGGATTTCATATGAATAAAGTTGACATGTACAAATCTTGAGGCTGCTTACCATCGAGTTAAAGGATGGTCTGGGTGTTGATAGGGAATTTAGTAAGCAGGAAGGCTTAACGTGGAAATCAAAATGTCTGTTTTGATCATGCTAATTTAAAGTGCCAGCTACACATTTGTGAGAGATTAAAAAGGTAGGTCACAATGCTGTATGTGGGTAGGTGTTTAGTCAACAGCCAGGACTGTGAGATCCTGACATAAGGAGTGAGGTGCAAAGAGTGAAAAATTGCTGATTGAGAGCAGAGTAGTAGAAGAAATATACTGAAAGAGGGAGACTGGAATGGGAGGAGGCATCAAAGAATGTTTCTGAGGGAGTGGTTAGAAATAAGAAAAGAACACACAACCTCCGTTATACTAAGAAATTAAAAGTGAAGGTAAAGTTTTGAGAGTTTGGCCAGGAAGGTCACCTGTGTGAGCAAATTTGATGGTATGAGAATGTTTTCACCTTCCAACAGGAATTTACTTGGCAGAAATGTTAATAATAGAGGGGGATAAAAAATAGATAAAAGATGTCACTGAGAAGAAAAGCAGTGTGATTTATTCAGGTATACATAATTTATAGGGAGTTTCAGACACGTGCCAAGGGTTTAGTACACAGTAAGAAAGCTGAAATCTTGTGGGTGGAAGCCAAAGTTTGAGTCTCAAGAATTTGGTGGAAATCACAGTTACACTTAAGAACTGTATAGAATCACAGAACCAACTAGCCTGGAAAACATCTTTAAGATTATCAAGCCCTACCATTACCTTAGGACTGCCAAGACTACAACTAAATCCTATCACTGAGGGCCTCATCTACATGGTTTTTGAATATTTCCAGGTATGGTGATTCCACCACTGCCCTGGGAAGCATCTTCAACCTCTCAGTGAAGAAACTTTTCCTACTATCCAATCTAAACCTCCCCTGGCACGTCTTGAGTCCATTACCTCTTGTCCTATTGCTTGTTACGTAGGAGAAGAGACCAACTCCACCTCACTGCAACCTCCTTTCAGGGAGTCACAGAGAGTGACCCTAAGCCTTCTCTTCTCCAGACTAAACCCCCACAGGTCCCTCAGCTGCTGCTCATAAGACTCGTGCTCCAGACCCTTCACCAGCTTTGTTGCTCTATCCTGGACCCGCTTCATCACCTCAATGTCTTTCTTGTAGTGAGGGGCCCAGAAATGAACACGGTATTTGAGGTGTGTCCTCACCGGTGCCGAGTACAGGGGGATGATCATTTGGTAAGGTTCTCCCCTAGCCTTCTCTTTTCCAGACTAAACCACCCCAAGTGACAAAGCCATGAAGAGAAGAAAGAATAAAGGGAGAACAAAGAGAAACTGGGTTTTGCAAGAGGAGGCTGACACAACAACTGATCCTAAATTTGCTCATAATCCTTACCAATAACAACAACAACAACAAAAGTGCTAATGCATATTCTTTTGTAGTGAGAGGTGGCTTCTGACTTCAGCTGAGAAAATACCTTTTCTAGCTGATTTATAATGATAGTTGAAGGATCTATGCAAACCCAGGGTATTGAGGAGTAGCTGAAGAACACTTATCACAACTTGAGCCTGGACATAAGTTGCAAAAGCTTGCGGAGTAAACAGACAGAAAAGTTTGATGATAATCCTATCATTCATAGGTTATTATTGTAACATTCTAGATTAGGCTGATATTTTGTGGTTGAATATGCAATTTAAACGCAATATAGTAATATCTTCCAAGATATTATGATGTTTATCATCTACTGAGTATTTAAACCACTATTTTTACTGAAGACAGCATCTGTATAACACAATTAAAAATTATAGGGATATCACTACCTGAAGATGATGATATTTAACTATGAGGTGAGGAGTATGCTGTGCCTGGGAAAAGTTCCCTGTTTGAATTTCAGAAGTCAGTGTCACAGTACCAAAGGCCATGCAGCGACAGTACATTCTGTCAGGTCATCCAGTGGCACACTCATGCTGCATGTGATTTTTCAGGAATATTTTAATATTTCCTATTTTACATTGCAATATGACAGGATATTTCCATGAGGAGAAAATTGGAAAGCAAATACAGAAGTATATAGATTTTCAGACATCACTTACAAGTATTTTTTTTTACAAAATGTTGGCTATCAACAGATGAGAAGGATGGAGCATTTCTCCAGAGAAATGCACTTCAGTGCAACCTAACATGTACATCGGTCTTTGAAATGTCAATTTCTCTGACACACTGGTGACATGAATTTGCAGAAAACTGAAAAAAAACAAGAAGAAGGAAAATGTTTAGCTGTAGAAGAGTAAAATTTACCTTAAGAAAACACCAACCCTGGCAAGTTTCCATTTCTGTATGCATTATTAAGCTACCCCAACACGATTCACATTCACAAATATGCATTCATTATTAAGGCATGAACAGCTGGCTAGATCGTGAGTTCCCTCATGTAAAAATTTCATTACTTCAACCAGCTAAAGAAGAGGGATTTCTTTTTTTTTATTGGAAGATATCAGAATCTGATCTACTTGGTTTATATACCACTAAAAGTACTCTTAAGTATCTTGGTCTTCTATTAGTTTTGTACTATGTTTCAAATTGAAATGGTTTAAACTTTTGCTAGTTTAAACTCTCAGTCTGCCATATGAAATAATTGAATTCAATGCAACATTGTGAGATCTGGGGAGGTTAATTTTCTATGTTTAGAATGAAATGGAATAAAAACGGTTTTGAATAACAATAGGATCAAATTATGCATTGCTGTCTAGCAAATAGAAACTTTTGATTAAAGAAAGTCTTTGAAGTCTGGATCAACATTTGTCTTTGAATATTGTAAATGCTTTCTAAGTAGGTAGATACACACTCACACAGACTCCCCATCTATATTGTAAATTTAATGGAAAACTATTCCACTTTATCCTTATGCATAAGTGCTAGGTTTTATAATTATAGCTCCATTCAGAATCTAATAAAATTAATGAAAAGCTTGTTTAAGTTCCTATTCTTAGCACCTTATTCAGATACTTGTATATTTTACATATTTTATAGTATATATCTGCATTCTAAGTGTTAGTTAACACTCTTACATGGTTTGTATCACAGCTAGATTTGTCTTAGTACCATTATAGTTGAAAGAACAGCATTAAGGAAGCCTTTCTTTTTAGTTCCTGATTGTGATTGCTAGCATATCAAATTTATCCCGTTGTAATCCAGATCATTTTCCAGAAGCTTTGAGAACTATATGTAGTAGTTTGTTAAAGAGCTCACAAGAAACCCTATACTGACAGAACAAAAAGCCCTTCGACTGTCACTTTATGTCATTAACAATTTCTAAACCCATTACAGATGGGATGGACTGATTAAAATTGAGGAGGGAGGATCTTTTTCCCAGCCAGAAATATCCCCTGAGACTTTTCCTGCATGTGAAGTTTCTGGTGATTAATGGGAGAAAAATAGGACCGCCTGCCCCACAGTTGCCGCACACTTCATTTAGGAAAGATGTTATTTGGTGATGTGCTTGCATTGGATGTCTTTAGAAGTTAAATATGAACTGGATAATTTTTAAAAACAGTCTACAGTTTAATTGCTCTTTTTTTCTTATTTTTCAATATTCACTTTTTATAGCTTCCCTGTGATTTTTATAAATGGTGCTAAAAGACTAAAATGTTTATCTTTGAACCCCCACACCTCCCTTCCATTCTGATGTTTTATTTCTGTAAATGAAAGCTACAGCTGGAATATTGTTTTACTACAAATCTTACACCAGCACTGTGGTTGTGATGTGACACCAGAGATTCTTATCTGTAGGCTGGGTTGGAATTAATAAACATTCTCACATTGTGCAAAGTGTTGAGGATGAACAGCAGTGCAGTGAGGTGCATCCAACACTTCTTGCTTCCCACCTGATCCTTGAAATATGACTCCTTTAAAAGGCTAATATTTGCTTTATATAGAAGTGACAATATTCAAGCACTAACATGTACTGGAATTATTGTTGAGTTCTGTGTTCCTCTAAGTTCTTTTCTGAAGAGAAAAATTGAGGGGGAAGAAAGAATGAGAATCATTGAAATAAAAAGAAGGAAAACATATTATTTCTACCAAAAGTATCAGCAGTGCTTTTATAAGAGAATTTCTATCTAACCCAAGTGATCAGCTTTCTTTGAGATATAATATTTTATCATTTCTTAAAATAAGGAACTAAAAAGGGAAGAAAACTACATTTCTGAATGGCTGATTTATATATATATATATTTTTTTTTATTTTTTTTGTGTGTCTGATAAATATTATAGTATTGACAATGTCTTTTTGTGAGTGTATTTAAATGAAAGCACTAACAGGAACATGGATTTAACACCAGATTCACTATTGAACAAATCTGCACTGCTTTTATGGAAACATCAGCATGAGGTGTAGAAAGGGAGTGACACTAAACTAGTGTTTGTGCTATAATTACGTATACTTAAAATGCATGAACTATAGTTCTCTATTTTAATTCTACTGAGTAACTGTAGACCACATCACATGGATCAGATCTTATAAGGCAAAAGGTCCACGAAAATGTGACTGCTATGGATGTGGATGTCTGCCAAAACACCTAGATGCTCTATGAATGCCTGACACAGATGAAATTTATTTCGCTGTGTTGTAATAAGGTAATCCAGAGAGAGAATATAGGGACAAAAGAGACATAGGAATCAGTCTAGAACTACGCTGGCTTTCCTTATAATATTGCTAGGAAGTAGTTGCCTGAAGGAGAAGAATGAAAACAGCATTAAGAGGGAGAGCCCAATCCCAATTACAGTCTGGTCGAGATGTGTAATTTTATTCCTGCGAAAGCAATCAATGAAACAGAGGCTTCCTTCAGTGTTTTCTTCATATTTTTTGTGGGTTGTTGTTGGTTTTGTTGGGGTTTTTTTGCGTTTGTTTGTGTGGTGGTTTTGTTTTTGCTCTTTTTTTTTTTTCCGTTTTCTATTTGTATTGTTACAAGACATAGTAGAATTACAGAATTACATTAGGGTACCATGTCTTTCCTGTTACACATATTTTAGCATTGCTAACTCACCCAAAATATCCATGTAATTACACAGTGCCTTCTAACCTGGATCAGCTGGGAATGGTTAGGAATACAAAGTTTACTGTAATATAATTTTGAGGAGAATAAATACTGACATGAAAACTGAGAGTTCAAAACAGAACAGACTATGAAGTTTACGTTCTCTGTTTCCAAAATCAGTCTTGTAATAAAACAGCCACTTGTTAATTTTGGACATAAGGTTGTTTTTGTTTTTTTGGTATCTTTTGGTTTCTTTTTCATTACATGAATGTTGTCATGGCAATGGGAAATTTTTATTTTTTGGAGTGCTGAGCCATGTTCAAGTTTAAATCAGTAGGAAGAGCAAGTGCTCAGCACCTTTGAAATTAAGTTTGGTGGACAATAGTATTTGTAGTCAAGTCAATGTTTTGACAATGTAAATCTGAGCACAGTGAATGCAGGTGCTTGTTCCATGCTAAAACTTTTCCTCATTTATTGACTTCATCACTCTCTGAGCTTTACCATTCTGTATCACAAATCTTATTCTGATTAGTGTTCCTGAGTGGGTGGAAGGGTTCAATTCGTACTTCACACTAGTATCAATACTGCTGTTTGAACATGCTTTTGTCAGCTTAATAGTTTTGATTTCATCAACAGTTGGTGCCATAATACTACAATTGGTCCTACTGAATTTGTCCGTGTAAACTAGGAATACTTCAAGCATATTGAGCACTGTCTGAGGTAAAGGAAAGCTACAAAAGCAGATTTTCGCAATTAGGTCTTTTTTAACGTCAGGAAAACTGTCTTACAAATAATTTAAAAAAATATTATACAGCCAGATTTTGTCTTCTAATATAACTTCAGAAATATACCTTTCAAAGAGGTATTTATTGTATGTACTCATTAATGTATATAGAAGAGCTATCAAAGACCACAAAAGGAATATATATGGTAAGTTAGTCTTTTGATATTGTCACAAAACCAAGCCTGTTGTTCTGTTACAAACATGTGAGCATGTTTCAAGAAAAATGGTTGAAACTTATAAATTAAAGGTTCTTCAATATTGCATCTGGCTGTAACATCTAATTAACACTTTAAAGGCTACAGTTTAATTTAAATGAATGGCAGGCCTTTGACTGCACAAGACAGCTCATGAACATGATTACAACAAAGTAATTTCCCTTTGTCAGATACAGACTTTCAGTAATAGTGTTCTCTTAGCTTAATAAAGTTAAGCACCACTTACAATCGGCACTTCATTTTGCTTCTTTCTATTATATAGAATGGTGGTTGTTCAGTTCTTATAGCAGCCATCTGCGTAGGTGTTCATTTGTACTCTCCTGCTGTGTGGGTACTCTGTCTAATTCCCAAGCTTCTAGCTTTATAATAGTTTCACAAAATGCTGTTTGAATTTTTATAAGCTAGTTTTCATTATCATTAGTTGAATGTTCCAAAGCTTTATACTGCCCAATATGGTTCTATTTTGACTCATGTTTGTATGCATTGATAATGTCTCTGTGCTGTAATTTTAGTGTTATAATATCCACTGGAAAAACTTGTTGTATAAGTAAGTTGAAATTTATAACGTTATAATTTATTCTATAATCTTCCCTTTCCCCCGAATATTAAATAAAATTATAGATATATTTAAAAATCATGATATAATTTTCATTTAAAAGTTTGATTCCTTTTCAATGCAGCTGCAAAATTTGTGCAGGTTAAAGATATCCTAATGGGTAATGCGTAATCTAATAAATTGGAACATTCTGGTACTAGTTTGTCACTAAGACCCCTTGTTGCTGTTAGTTCCTATAATTCTGCCTCAGACAAAAGGAAAGGATGTGACGGAATGGTATTCTGTCATTTTTTCTGTATTAATTTGCCCTCCTCTCTCAAGTGAATTCAGCCATTATTGCCCCTTTACTTAAAGCCTGTTAGAGCATTCTACAATAGAGGGTCCCCCTTGTGTTCTTCAGACATGTCTTATGTTCCCTTGGAGAGGCATATTTGGAGGAGCAATTAAGCATTGTCGTTTGCAGAAGAAAGCAAGACATCTACTAGTTTTCTATACTTATATGAGGCCCTCCTTCTTAGGATCTCAGAATGCTTTAGAAGCATTCATTAAAATTATAGCACTAACTGAAGCTTGTACTTTCTACATGTATGTTATAGTTATGGTGTAGATGATTAAACAGAGTCCTGCAAAGGAAAAATGAAAATTACTTGTTAAGTGTGGTTTTTTTTTTTTTAAAAAAACAAGTAAGTGGCAGAAATGGAGTGCATCTATCATGTTTTTTATTATTTTTTTTGTAATTTGGAAGGTGTTTCCATGAAGGAAACATATTTTGCCTTAGTTATTTACTGTTCAGGGAATAGCTGTTTCAAAATACATTACTGTTCAGTATAGCCTTTTAAAACTTGTTTGAAATAGATACAAAATTAAGAAAAATAATAATTAAATCACTTTTTTCTCAGTTCTCTCTAGTCTATTGACTAGATGTAGACATCTACCTAATTTAGTTTTTCTACTCCATATTAAAGGACTAATTAAAAAATAAGTCATAGCTAAACTGGAGTACAAAATACATTATTGGATATTATTTTTTAGATTGAAATTTTCATAAATATTCATCAAGTTTTTATATTCTAAAACTTTGAAACAATAATACATGTATCTTGAGATTAATTTTTAAAAATAAAACAGCAAAGAATTATAGAATAAGCTCTTAAGTATTTGTCAGGAATATCTTGAAATAATAATCTAAATTCTTAGATGTCTTGTCATTTGCCTATGATATCTCAGGCAAAGTTTTCCTGTTTTGCAGTACAAGAAATTTGTACTTTCAGTAGATTCATAACATCATCTTTAGAACTGAAGATGGTATTACTAAGAGCATCCTTTGTCAGATAGGAAGAACAGATAACTCTTTTGGAGTTTGGGTATGAGTATCAGTCACGAATGCTACATCTTAGCTGAGACATTATTTTATTAGTCACTGTGTACTGTGCATCAGAAAAACTAATGGAAACAGAAGAAATACATTTGTCTGGATGAATCTGAATGGAGAAGATACTCCCGAATCTTTGCTTTTTAACTCTCAAGAGTTACCATTTTACTCTGTGACCATAGCAAAAATCCTGTTGAGTAGGTGTACCTATATGCCTTGATGCAGCATATTAATTACTGATAGAAAATGGTGCTTAAATTTTTTCACATTTTCAGATCATTAAATTTACCTTGCCTTAAAATCCATGATGGAAATCCCAATCCAATTAGGTCAAAGAGAGTTCTGTTTTTTTTCACTGCAGCCAAAATTTTGTGTTTTGCTCTTTATTTAAATGTCTGAACATCAGGGTATATTTGAATTTTCATGTGGCAATAGGCAGTATGCAGTTTATTCTGAGGTAAGGTGTTCTGCTAAGATTGGCTCTCCAATGGTCTGTTTTTCATAAAGTAAACAGAATTGTAAGTTTTTCTGTAAATCAGCCTGAAAGTGTAAGATTTTTTTTTCCCCTCTAGTTCTGGATTCAGTACATGCTCACTAATCTAAAAAGCACTGCATGAGCCTGAGCCTAATTAATTCAATGATCTGCAAACTCCATAAGTCTTATCATGGCAACAGCAACAGATGATGCTTCTTAAATTTACATCCTCTAGAGTGCATTTAATAGGATCAGAGCAGTCACAGAGAAGAATACTCAGTTATAAAATTTGTTCTACCAGTAATTGAACTGAGTATAATTCTTTCCACTTGCAGACACCCGCACTCAGAAGAATATTGTCTTATTGAACACTAAATTTGTCCTAAAGTATGTACAAAATGATCATACAAATAATAAGACTGCAGTGGGAGGAACTGTAGTTTTGCTGTTGTTATGACTGGGGCTTTGCACAAGACAATATATGTTAATAGCTTCAGGAAGAATGATGGACATTCTGAAAATACATGTGGAAATATATGTTACAGCAACCTAAGTGCCTTGAAATCAAATGAAAAACCCAGGGTCTTTGTAAGCTATTTTGTGATTCAACTAATTTTTATTTCAGTCCTTCTAATTAATTCTTAAGCTTTAATTCATAATAAGAAAGCAAGTTATGCTTTTTATTTATTTTTTTCAGTGTTAGTTGAAAAGGACTAGGACTGCATCCAAATTTTTAAAGTACCAATGAACTGAATGCACTT